TCCTTAAGCCCCTGTCAGCTTCCGGGGGAAGTGTGCAGGTGTTACTGGACTTAGAAACATGGTCCGTAGAACTGTGAGAATTTGATTCTGAATTTGACAACTGTGTAGGGAGATTTGAACCCACAGCCACTTCTACCCTTTCATGCTGACATGCTTGGAGCTTTCTAGCAACTAGGTCATTCTCTCGCTCTCCGAGACTGTCTTCTGAACTTAACTTTAAATCATTCCTAAGTGTTAAAACCGGCGAACATAAAACAGAAGTATTATCTGAGCACCCAGGGCTGAAGGCTGAGTCCACACATTCCCGGGCTGCCTTCTGGCCTCCATCTTCCATATGTTCCAGAATGTTCTCTCCCTTTGGCAAATCCCATGTAAACATATTTTCCTTTTGAGAACTGTTCTCGATCATTGGATTCTTGTCTTCAGTTTCTGAACAATGACTAGCCAATTCTTCATGCTTATCGAGTGACTTTTTAGCTTTTATGGATTTTCTGGACAATTTCGATGACAGGCTTCCCAAAGAAATGATTTGCACACTATTCTTTTCCAAGTCATCTCGGGTTTTGTACACCAAGGCATCTTTGTTTTTAAAGTAGGGACTGGTCTGTGGTTTTAGGCCCGTTTTGGAAGAACCACTCTGGCCAAGAGTTAAATTTGTCTTTGTTGATGACAATTTCTTTGCTGTTCTTTCTTCTGTGGTAATGTTGGTTAACTCTGAAGTGGACACATCTGAATTTGTTAAGGAAACCTGAACAGGATCAGTGTGAATAGCATGGCCATTGTCAGTACACAGTTGGTCAAGGTGCTGGTTTAATTCATACCTGGGGACCATTTTCCTACAAACTGGGCAGGCAATTCTGGCAGGTGGGGCATTGTTAAAATAGGAAATAATAGAGTTAGATGGGGATTTTGCTGCTTTGATGGTTGATAAGCGTCTGCAATGTCTCTTTGGGGCAGGAGATTTCCCCTCCGCCATCATAAATGTTAGAAAAATCGCTACCTTTGGTGACGGGCAAGATTCAACGTTCGCCTTTTATTTTCTTGTCCTGAGTTAATAAAATGCGAGGTGTTGTTTGAGCTCATGATTTTGGCTTAGGCAAGGTCTTCTTCCTACAAAATAAAACACATACACCTTAACGATGTGTTTATGGCCCGGATCACCCCCTGACAATCCTAACTCCTTCAAGGGGAGGCTCGAGATCTGAGGATCTCAAGAAATCAGCCCCAGGCAAATCTGAGAAACTCATCAACTAACCAGAGGAGGCATGGCTCAGCCTGGCACGGATAAACCTAAGGGAAATCAGAAGGGCCTGAGTTCATGCCTCAGCACTGGCGTCGGTGAGTAAACGTGTGATGTTCTGTGTGATGTTCTCTGGGGTGAGGCCATGACCTTGAGTTGGAGGTTGCAGGGTGGAGGGGGCACCCCGCTGTGCGGGCACTTCCTTTCTGCCAGGACCCGGGGCCTGGCGCTCTCCCGGGTGATGCGCTACCTCAGGGGCCACCGCCAGGCCTCTCGCCGGGCTGTGAGGCTCTGCAAGCGCGGCCTGGCCTCCAGCCGCCGTCCTCGGGCCTCGGCCTCACGTCGAGCCAGGCTCACAGGCCTCGCGGGCCATCAGAGCGTCCCTTCCCGGTGTCAGCTCCAGACCTTCACATCGGGGGGTCACCCTGTCCTGGAGCCACCCCCCCCCCGCTTCCCCCCCATCCCAGGCCCGCGTGGCCCACGTGACGGGGGGGGAGTCTGGAAACACGCATGACTCCCCCCGCCTCGGCTGCCCCCTGCGGGGCCACGCGACCCCGCCGGGGTCCCGCC